CAAAAAGGACATGTACAAAAATGGAAAGAAGGACACATAAGGCAAAATATCAGCAGATAGCCAGTATCTGCAAAGACAAAGTCAGGAAAGCAAAGGTTCAGAATGAACAAAGACTTCCAACAAAAGTAAAAGATAATTTTTAAAAAGTTTCTTCCAACATTTCAATAACAAGGAAAAAACAACAAGGGAACAGTCGGTCCACTAAAGAATGAAGACAACAAAGAAGTAACAGGCAGCAGAGAGAAAGCAAAGCTGCTTAATTCATTCTTTGCATCACTCTTCACACACACAAAAAACAATAGTCCAACCTACCAAAAACATAACTCTAAGAGACAGACCAGAAATAAAAGTAAAAATAAGCAAAAAAAAATGGTAAGAGAATACCTGTCTGATCTTGATTAATATAAATCACCAGGACCTGACAGATTACATCCCAGAATTCTAAAGGAACTGGCAGAGGTCATCTCAGAACCACTGTACCACATCTGTCAAAAATCCTGGAGTACCGGGGAACTACCAGAGGACTGGAAAAGAGTTGATATGGTTCCCATCTTCAAAACAGAAAAAAAACAGACCCAGGAAATTACAGACTAATCAGCCTAACATCAATACTCTGGAAGATACTGGAAAATATAATAAAAAATAAATCTGCCAACATTTAGAAATGAGTAAAGCAATAACTAGAAGTCTGCATGGGTTTGTTAAAAGCAGATCATGCCAAATCAATCTTATTTCATTCTTCAATATAGTGACTAAATTAGTAGACCAGCAAAATACTGTGGGCATAATATACTTCAGCAAGGCATTCGACAAAGTAAACTACAACCTACTTCTTGGGAAGCTAGAAAAAAGTGGGATAGATAGCATCACCATCAGATGGATTCGCAACAGGCTGACAATCTGTACTCAACTAGTAGACCTTAATGGTACTATGTCTACATGGAGGGAAGTAAGCAGTGGCGTACCACAAGGTTCCGTCTTAGGCCCGGTACTCTTCAATATCTTCATAAATGACTTAGATGAGGGAACAGAAGGGGAACTTAAAAAATTTGTGGATGATACTAAGCTGGCAGGAATAGCTAACATCCTAGATGATAGGCTCAAGATGGATCTTGACAGACTTAAACACTGGGCCCTATCTAACAAAATGAAATCCAATGTAGAAAAATGTAAAGTCTTACACTTAGGCAAGAAAAATCAAAAGCACACATATAGATTGGGTGAAACTAGGCTTAATAGCAGTAACTCTGAGAGGAATCTTGGAGTCTTAGTGGACAACCAGCTAAATATGAGCCAGCAATATGTGGCGGCAGCCAAAAAAGCCAATGCAATCCTAAATTGCATTAACAGAGGGTCAAGATCAAGTGAGGTACTAATATAAAGCCTTAGTAAGACCATACCTAGAGTACTGTATACAGTTTTGGTCACCACACTATAAAAAGGATGTTAAGACTCTAGAAAAAGTGCAGAGAAGAGCAACCAGGATGATTAGGGGACTGGAGACTAAAACATATGAAGAATGGTGACAGGAACTGGGCTTGGCTAGTCTAGTGAAGAGAAGGACCAGGGGAGACATGATAGCAGTCTTCCAATATTTGAGGGGCTGCCAAAGAGACGGAAGCGGGGGGTGTCAAGCTATTCTCCAAAGCACCTGAAGGCCAGACAAGGAATAATGGATGAAAACTGAACAAGGAGAGATTCAACCTGGAAATAAGGAGAAATTTTCTGACACTGAGAGCACTGGAAGCTTTTAAGAAGTGACTGGACTGCCATCTGTCAAAAACTGTGTAGGATCTGCTTGGGGGGTGGGTTGGACTAGATGACCTACAAGGTCCCTTCCAATTTTGTTACTCTGTATCTATCAGTCCTCTTTGAGTGTATTGTTGCTTTAATTTTTCTCTCATTCCCTTTTATGGCCACACATAACTGAAAAGTGGCAAACAGAATTTAGGGCACCTGTTCCTATCAGGCCTCCAGAGTTTTGTGGTGGTAGCAGGCAAAGTGATGTGAGTGGAGGAATAGAATGTGGCAACATCCCAGCCAAATTTAGACAGTTTGGAAACTTAAAAATGACCAAGATACTCATCCAGTCATCCTGGATCACCCAGTGCCAGCTGAGCAGGGAAGGAGAAAATTGGTCAGCACTATTATATGGTTATGTCCTGTGGTGCGTGTGTCTACTGATGGAGAGAATGGGAGCACTTGCTAGGGGTTCATATCTGCGCTTGCCTTGGCTATAAATACAGCTGCCATGCTCATACTAGCCTCACCTTTCCCAATTTTCCAAAACCACAAAGCTCATCATGCATCATGCTCGCTTCTGAAAACAGGAGATATAGTCCAGTACATCTGAGTTGTAGCAGATTAGGTAAGGCTGCTGTAACCTTTCAGTGATTAAACATGCTTAGTTCTGCAAAATATAGTTTGTTCAGACAATGCTTACATTTTTTACCCAATGAATTTTTACTTTAAAAGTTTTACCTTTTTTGAAGCCACTTGGTTTTTAGTCAAAACTCTATCAGACCTAGTGCATATTAAAACATGTACACGAATAAGGAGATTTCACTGTTAGTGGGACTGTTTGAGTAGATTGTGAAGCAACAAATAAGGGACAAATTCTTGACCATCTACTCAGTACAAATGAAATGATGTTTAGGCGACCTCTCCTTTCCCATGCCTTTGATTCATCGCTGAGATAGATGGGATGACCTTTTGGAAAGCAAGTAACTGAAATGAAGGCGATAAAATAACCACAAAGCACATGCCATTGCCTCAGTCCTTTGTTCCTGTACCCGGCAATAAAAATCTTTTAAAAATTAAGGAAATGGTTTTGCAAATTTCATTAGGAGGGTTCCCAACCAGCAGAATCCAAGGCCCTTTCAAAGCTATTCATACCCTAAATTAAAACGGAAAAAAGAGCTCCCTTTGAATGTGTATATTTGGATATGCATACAATTAAAAATCAGGAAATGCTTTTTCAAAAGCCAGTTTTGCCACTGAAATACCTGAGTTATTATATTCTCTGAAGCTGAAAAGCAGAAATTCACAAGTTTTGGGTATGCCGCTCTTCACTAGGGCAGCTATTATGCAATGGAAAAAATGAGGTGCATAAAAAATTATGAGTGCTAAACAATTATGGAAATTTCACACAATCCACAAATAATTTGAGCTAATTAAATTAAACTTGTTCTCTTACTTCCAGGGGCACTGACTAAAATCAAAATACTTTTAATTAAGTGGATTATTAATCTTTTGCTATCGCTAGCACCGCTGCTAATTTTTTGTTTGTTTGTTTTGTTTTCTTCAAAGCACTGATTAAACTTCGCACAATACAGGCCCATCCCAAGTTTTGCCTGGCTTATCAGAGGCACGCTCCAAAAATGGAGGAAAGTGAAGGCCATTGCTGGGGTATGTGTGTTGTAGGAATTTCAAGGAGTACAATAGAAACCTTAAGATTTTATAAAGTGTCAGGCATCCATTTTGCCCTTTAAAACATCCCCCTAATGTGAAAAGGGGAACGAGATGGCTATTAATATTTTATTAGCATCAGACTCAACGATGTTTCTGTGACATAATGGTATTACAATTTCTCCTGGAAGAAAGGCCCAGTGAATACATTTCTCACATGTGTTGATTCTCTCTTATGACAATTTCATACACTTGAATTTCTAATTTGTTTATGTTAGGAACATATACAAGGAACCTCAAGTTTCCAGCAAATGTGCTCATACCAAAGCAAATATGTGCGTGCAATGTCACATGTGATAATATACAGGCAGCCTTTATTCCTTTTCCTACACGGAAGTTTGTCACAGAGGAAGTGTGTAATGGTTATAAAGGCCCCTCCTTAAAACAAGCGGGAAAAATCACTTTCCCTATTTAATATTTCCAGCTTCCCAAAATATTGAGGTCAGCTCTGTAATGTAGAGTTATATATGCCAACTATATCCTTAAAAGTACATTATTTAATTAGTGTATTATTCTGAATTTCAAACGTGCTTCTTACATAAATGGCCCTGGGGTCCTTATCTTGTAGACTATAAAACAGACGTCTAGTGTACCTTAGTGTAGAGAAAGTCATAATAATAGATAAAAGAATACTAAGTGTTGCTTTGATAGGATTCTTGAAAAAGTTTTGGATTTAATCTTACGAAATACATTGAACCAAGTAAATCACTCAGTTTTAGTTCAGACTGCACTCTGAAAGGAAACCATGAAGCTGATATGACATGATAAAGAATGCAATTGTCAGACTAATTAGATATATCACTATAGGTTAAATGATAACAATGATGCATTATATGAAAAACTAAAAGAACTCAGGAGAGTTTGAAATTCAAATAAAAAGTATAACTGGTAATTGTAAATCTATTGCTGTCTGGAAATTATTTAATTGTTAACATTACAAAGAGAAACAAAGACTCATTGTAACAATTCTAATTGCCAGAAGAATGGTATTCTAACTTTTAGAATTTTTAGATTTTAATGCAAAATCTATTTGGCTTGTGATTATAGAAGAGTAATGTGAAATTTTCGTTCTGTAGTTATATGTTCTAAAGCTTACAGAGGCTGCTGCTTTAAACTGGGTATTTAAAGAAATGGAGAAAGAGTTAGAAAAAGACAAACCAATTTAGAAAAATACAAATCAAAAGAAGTAAAAAAGTTTTAAGAAAAGTCATTATTTCAGAAGATGTTTTAAACCTCCTTTTTACAGATTGCTTGATATAATAAGGGAACGGTTATAAAAATACAGAGAATGTATGGGGAAAAAAAGACAAGACACAGCATACAAGGAAAACATGCACAGCAATGTATGAAGAAGAGATTTAGTCTTAGGTCAATAGTAAATTACAAGAAAGGCAAATAGCTCAACTGCCCAACCTATGTGGAACTAATGAATAGAAAGACATCGATCTACAATCTTCCCTAAAATCAAATCCTTGCTGAAATGATCTTTCTTGCCTAGAAACGTGCTTTCTCCCAAATACCCCGATCCTCACCTGTCCAGCTGTGCAGGACCAAGGTCATCTTCCAGTTCCCAAAGGTCAAAGAGGGACATCTCCAAGTCTCTATTGCTGGCAAAGAGGCAGGTGAAAGAATTGCAGGTGATTGCCAGGGATCTTCAAAGGGAAAGGAAGGGTCACCTGACTGCTGACTGTAAGGAGGCCTGGATGGCAAAGTGGAGGCACATGAAGAGAGGGTGCTGTGAGAGAGTCCACCTGCTGATGAAACACGAGATGCTGAGGTCCGGTTCTATAGTCTGGAAAGGATGAAACCCACTGGCATCCAAGAATTTACCCTCATCGTCAGCCACATGGCTGCTGCTGGCTGCCATGCTTGGGGGCCATAATTCGCGGCTGCTTCCTCTCCGCCACTGGTTCCCTCAGCTAGAGCTTGCAAATAATTATTATTGTCACTGGCGGTGGTGTTGGGGACGTCAAATCAATTAGGCTCCAGCTTTTCCTGCCACCTTGTTCCCTCTGAATCCCCCCTGTGGCCACTTCTCTTTTTTGACAGGCTCTCTTTGGCCACTGGAAGGAGCTGCTTTGAAGACAGAGCCTGGGCCAACCCCCTCCCGCTCCCCGCCCCCTCCTGCTCCCCTCCCCTCCCCTGCATGAGAGAGATTTCCTGCCCTCTTTGGACAGGGGATGTTCTGCAGCTTATAGATAAGCAACACAGGAGCTGCCTGCACAGGACTGATAAGGAAACTCCCGAGTTGGACCCAGCCTAAGCCAGAGGACTTGGAAGGCAAACAAGAGGAAACCCAGCGTCTACATGCTAGAATAACATAGGCCAGTGAGCACTAAAGTCTCCACAACACACACAGGAGGGAGGTAGCTTAGTAATCCTCAGAGTGCTTTCATAGGCAACCAGAAGTATGCCTTGGATGTGAGGGTAGCCAAAAAGCAGAGAAGAAACCAGGTTCTGTCCCTCCATCCTGCTGGCTTGGGGTTCCTTCCAGATACTGTGCCTATCTGTCTCCAGCTGGGCTTGGCTGAAAGCCAACACTTCCTTCAGCCTTACTTAATGTGGATATCAGCCCGTGAGCCATTGGCAGCAAGATCAATGGCCAATTAAAGGCCTTAGGACTTCCTGTAAAGAAAGTATGTTTACATGGACCAACGTGAATTTATTGGCCTAATAGGCACTCATCTAACCGGAGGCCATTTTGATGTCATTCTTTTAGCCATGTCATTTATAGCATGTCTAAAGGAAACTGGCAGAACTGCACATCTTAAGGAAAATTAATACATTCGTGGAAAGCTCTTCCATTTGGAATGGATCCCTTGTGAGTGACTCAAGGCAAAACAAAGTATAATACAATGCAGCTGATTAAGAGTCCTGTTCACATGGAACATAATCATAATGTGACTGCCACACTGTGAGTGGTGGAGTGAAATTTCTTCTTTCAGCTGAGCCACAATTACATGGGAGCGTTATTTGTATACCTTTACACTACTGGGGGAAAATGAATGTGATTCAGCCAATCTAGGTTGTCAATCTCTATAAAGATTAAGAAAACAGCATCTACTATGGACACCCACCCTTACGTTGTTTAAGAAATCATTGAAAACCTGATTGTTCTCCCAAGGCCTGGAGACAGGATGGCTGTAAACCTCTCTTCCCCTATGTTTTTTTTTTCAATTGTTTTGTTTCATCGTGGTTCTGGTAGTTTTTATATTTTGTCCTTCTGGTCAGCTGTGTTATTTATATGGATGGGGATTTTAATTATAAACCATCCAAAATTGCTTAAGGTATAGATGCTTTTGAAATTTGATATTTTTTAAAAAAATCCCCTGCCTTCACTGGAATATGTAGTATTCCTGAGCAGAGCTGTCCTAACAACAATCCACGAAAAGATATTATTAAACTAAATCAATCAATAAAAATCTAAAATCCGTGAGCAAGGTTGTAGGTTTTAAACAGAAAAAATCCACAAAAGGAAAGCAGCCATCATACACATATGGTCTCACCTTTTGACTTAATAGTCAAGATTAGTTTTTAGAAGCAACAATGAAATTTTCACTGCACAATCTGCTTATGACAACCTATTATGGTGAGCTACCGTTGCAAGCTTCCATGGAGTGACTTTGGCATGACAAACTATTTGGGGAAGATTTCCTGGAACTCCCGGATGCTAATAATGTCAAGAGGGCTGTATGTGTTTGTTTGTGTGTCTGTGTGAATGGAGAGGATACACCCTTTAGCAATGGGTACATGCTCAAACTATCTACAGGCAACTTTGTGGTTTTTTTTTTTCATTACCTTTAGCAGAAGTAAAATTTCTCCTCTGAAAAGTTTGCTTTTTGAATAATGTATCCTCAGTGTGCCAATAAAATGAACTTTTATAATTGCCTCCTGTTCCACTACACATTGTAGGCAGAGTAGTATTCAATAGCTATCCATGCAGCTGCATAATTTCTTCCAATGTTTTCCCAGTTCTAAGTAAAACAATATACCACCATGCAGGGGTGGGCTTCAAAAATCTTAGCAACCAGTTCTCTGCCCAGTTGCTGGGTGGGCGTGGCCATGGTGGGCAAGGCCTAATCGGCCTCCAGCACCATGGCGGGGTGGTTCATTCTCCCTGGGCTCTGGAGGCTTTCCTCGAGCAGCCAGGAGGCCCATTTTTTGCTCTCCCTGATTCTCCGTGTGGGCCCCGCACTCACCTGGCATCCAAAATGGGCTACGTGAAGACTCCTGGGAGTGGCGTGGGGGCATTGGTGGAGCCAGCTGGGGGTCAGATTTGCCAGTTCGCCGAACTGGTAGCAGCCCACCCCTGCTACCATGTATACAGTCAACATGGAGTTACAACTATGAATTTTCTTCCTTTTAAAAAAAATAAGTTATTTCTACACACACACACACACACACACACACACACACACCCCTGATGCCTCGATTCCTCTGATTTTTTTTCTTCTTTAACAGAACTAGTTTCAACTAACCCAGGAGAAAAAACACTATCATGTTTAACGATTCAAATAATGCAATGGACAAAAATATAATTGCATGTGCTGAACTGCTGGATTTCAAATGTGAAAATATATTCAACTAAATTTGGTGATATAGAAAAATAGAAGTAAGAATTATAGCTTTAGTCTAGAAAAAAGAGTTTGTTTAGCAATTATGGTGATGATCTGAAATAACCCTTTGTACTGTCACAGAGCCAGCCTTAGTGCAAATAATGGAATGTTGCTCTAAGACTCACCTAGGGGATCAGTATATCAGACCCCTGGTGCAATGCTAGCCAACCATAGGAGTTACTGATAGCACAACTTGTATGGGTTGTACATAGCAACACTGAATCAGTTTAATAGTGGTTGATTTTACCCTGACTCCAAAGGCATGTGGAAGTTTTTGAAGTACAGAATAAGATCAGGATCCCGGGTATTGATTACAATAACTTTCAGTCTCTCTTAATGATGAAACATTACTTGTATTTCTCTTCTTTAGTCTAGCTTCACCCTCTAATGAGCATCAGTTAGTTACTTAGATCACCTTCTAGAAATTATCAGGTAACGGACACGAATCTGTCTTCAACTGAAAATGTGAGGCCAAGCCTGGGTTAGAAACTGGTCAATAATCTTCTCATTTTTAGTTAGAGTCTTGTGCTTTTATTTTGAAGGTGATCTAGTTTCCTTAAGACACCAGAGTGATTTATGGGTTCTTGGAAATAAAAGAAAAATGTTCCCAACATAGCTAAAAGAAAGAAAGAAAAGAAAGCTAGCAAAACACTACATGTCTCTGATGACAATGGGGAACCACAATGAATTCCTGTAACAAAAATACGAGAAAAACAAAATAACCGAACTGCATGGAAAGAGAGAGCGGCATAGGTGTGGGAGAGAACTATTATGCTCATCCAGTACTACCACCATCTAGTGGCTGTGTTATCAGCAGAATGGGGCGATATGGAGGGCATCTTTTGATCATCTTTTGCTAATGCAAAGAAAGGGTGAGCACTTGCAGAGTTGATCCCAAATCACTCGAGAAGTTGACATTGTAGAATAATTAAAATCTGGAATCAGTGGGGAAGATTTTTTCATTGGAATGCGGTGCTCCATCACTGGGGGCATTTAAGAAGAAATTGGACTGCCGTGTCTGTCTGAAGTGTTGTAGGGTCTCCTGTCTGAGCAGGAGTAGAAGACCCCCAAGATCCCCTCCAGCTCTGCTATTCTGAATATTCTGGAACGCTCGGCTTAAACAAGGGGTTGGTGTTTTAAATCATTTTATGTTTAGCAGTTGTTTCAAAGTTTTTGAAACATCGTTTAAATTAGACTTGTTTTTAATATGCACTTGGCAATTTAAACAACCGAAGATTGTAGTAATTAAACAGTGTGACACATGTTTTAGCAACCTCTGAAATATATGGAATTTTAGCTTCTTTAAGAGATACTGTGCTCGAAATAAACTTTCAGTCTTAAAGTTATTAAAAAGCAAAATAAAAGTTAGTTATATATTTGTGGGAGGGTTGTATTATTCAGTTTAGATAATCAATCATTATCCAGGCGTTATAAATATGAAATAGCCCTGCGAAAGATATGGAATCAACTGTACATACCTGCCTCTCAGTCAAGAAGTCAATTTTATTCTGGTAACTTGTAATTCTTTTACTTGATGCCCTTCCCCTTAAAATGTCAATTTTTCATTTCTGCTCACAATAGGGAGGATCCTTTTAGGTTGATACACAGAGAACAAATCACATTACCCAAAAATGGGATTAGCCTATGAAAAATGTTTGCTCCCACCACTGCCTCTTATGTCAGGCTCTGAAACTGCCAATTTAATCAAGCAATTAAAATTGACCAATGCTCTAAGTTGCGATGGTAACCACTGAAGCATTGCCTTGCCTTCCATATTCACTTGTATGGACAACAGAACTTGTACTCTTGATTATTGAGTTTGAGTCTTGATGAGCCCTGGTTATTAAAAAAAAAGGAATGCAAATGTATCTGTCAGTTACTACCAGTAAACATTATGCCAGATAATTGTACAGTATAAACACTTTTAGACTGGATTAAAAGTGAGAAAAATCAGGTCAAGGAGCAGATAGTACAGAAGTCATTCTCTTTTTGATCATGCTTCAACATATGTTAGAGCCCTATTAGACCCTTTGCATGTGCCTACCAAGGAAATAGATGGGCAGATGCTGCTGCCAGTATGGCACTGCACAACATCTTTCAACACCTTGAATCTTCAGGGAATATGCACAGGTCCTTTTTGTAGACTTCAGCTCAGCATTCAATACCATCATTCCAGAAATTCTTCTCTCTAAACTTATTCAGTTAGCAATGCCTGTCCATACTTGTAGATGGATTATTAGCTTTTGACAGATAGGAAGCAACAGGTGAAACTAAGGAAAATCACACTGAGCACCCAGTCAATTAGCACAGGTGCCCTTTGGGGCTGCCTGCTCTTTCCATTGCTCTTCTCTCTATATACCAATGACTGCATCTCTAAGGATCCCTCTGCTAAGTACTAAAGTTTGCAGATAATACAACAGTCACTGGTTTTATCTGAGACAGTGATGAGTCT